AAAATTCAAAATAAATTCTTAGTTATAAATCGTTTGTAAATAGTTCTATAAGTCTTTTATCGTTATTGTTTTTGTTAATTAGTGTTAAATAAATAGTGTTTAAATAAATTGTGACTTTCTATCCACACGGAACCGACGAAAAACGTAACAATAATTTTTTTTGTTATAGAGTATTTTGCTCTATTTCATAAAATAAAGTGGTGAAGGAAGGATAAACTTGCTTTTATTAAAATAAGAATAATTCTGGTTTGGGTTAGCCGCTTTTAACATACTATGGCTCGTTTAAGAGATTTTTTTCCTTAATAATCTCCAGTATAAATTTTGTTTCCATAGATTTTTTTTGTGGTAGCTAGAGGGCGGTGTTGGTTAGGCGCTGTTAATAGAGCACAAATTTCCAATATATCGGCGCAAACCGCAACTCTCTAATCTTCTCTCTAACCGGAGATATTAGCTTTTTTCGTTTTCCTGTTATTACCGATTCTGAACCGTCCTAGAACTCTGCAGCGCATGCGCAAATGAAATAATGTCTTCATATTTCCTTCTGCGCATACGCATCACAGTTCTAGGACGGTTCAGAATCGGTAATAACAGGAAAACGAAAAAAGCTATTAAGAGAAAAAATCATGTTAGGCTCCCGCTTAGGGAGGATTATACAGGGTGTCCCAGAAATAAGTGCAAGTATTTTAAGGGGTAGTAGATCTGGTCAAAAGAAACATTTTTTCTCTTTACCATTTTTACCAATTACAATTTGTACCAGAAGATTGGTTTAATTATTTAAGAATGGATGAGGATTACTATCGATCTCGAGTCCTCTATGCTCCGCTAATGCAAAAAAAACGACGATCTAGAATGAAATTGCCACACACTGTCAGTAGGCCAGTCAATCTGGAGGTTGAAGTGGAAAAAATTAGTAACCAACCGATCTCAACGGGAATGTGTAGATAATGATCTCCTATTTAAACCCTCAAAAGTCCCATTCGGTCCCAGTGGAGGAAGTTTGAAAAAAACCGCCGCCATCTTGGATTTTTTCGTTTTTTTTCAAATATCTCCATTTGCATAACTTTTTTCGAAAAATCTAAAGATATATTTTTTGTAGAGAATTAAATTTAGAATATTTTCTCTTCAATAATTTTTTTCCTAAAATAAATAGTAATAGAGATAGAGCAATTTTTTACTATACGTTTTATAAATTTTCCAGTTTTTTAAACAAATCAGCTACAATTTTTGCGTTAACAGTATAGTGGTAATATAGATAAACCCAGTATAAATTTATGCATCAAAACAATTAAAAATAACGTTTAAATATTATTTATTAAATAAAATTATTGTTAAAAAAATTATTGAATTAAAGTTTTAAATAAAATCTGCTACGACGTCATCCTGAGTGTCATTTTCGTCCTCAACTAAAATACAAAAGTTTGTGCAATTGATTCCGTAGCACTGATCACACTTTGAAGAACATTTAAGACCCAGTTTTCTACAAGAGCAATTTTTAGAGCACTGACTCTCTTTGCAATTGCAAAAAATGAATTTTAGTAGGTCAGGAGGCGCCATATCTTCTGTTGATTGAATAGATGTCAGATTGCCTTTTTGATCTTTCTTCCATCCATACTTATAAAGGATCTAACTTGTTACCAATCAACTTATAACATTTCCTATAATAGATATATCTTTACTCATATAATAGATATATCCTGACTCAGGACATACTTTCAGGCAACTGTGTCCTAAATAAATGTAGTTTTGCAGAGTTCTCAGTTGGAGACAAATGAGCCAAATGAAAGATAGTTTTAAGGACTTGTCTTGATGTAAACCTATTGTATAGAGTGTATCTCAAATGGTTAATATGTTTAATATAGCTTGGGCAGTTTGTTTAGCTTTAAAAGATAATTTAATCTTGACTAATTAAATTATCTTTTAAAGCTATATCACTGCCCAAGCTATATTAAACATATTATCCATCTGAGATGGAACCCGGTGGTGTAGAGGTACAGCTCTCGTCTACCAATCTAAAGGTTGTTCGAAGGTTCGAAGAAGGTTCGAAGAAGGTTCGAATCCTACAGCCGGTAGTTCATCAGTCGACTATTTTTAATAAAATAAAAATAGTTTGGGCACCTAGGTCGACTCAGCCTTAAATGAGTACTTGGGATTCACAATCCTGAGGTAATAATAGGCGGTTACAGCGTAGTGCTAGCCACATTACCTACCTTGTATACCGAACGGCTCTAGCATGGCAAGATGTACCTTGCTACTCCCAAAACGTTAAACGCTATATACGGGATCCATTATTATATTATTATTAGATACACTCTATTCAATAGGATTAAATCAAGACGAATTCAAAAGAAACTTATCCTGATAATGATGTAATTAATTTAATGCCTTATGCAATACTAGCTTAAAATATACAATACATTCATCTAGAAATTTGACACCTCAAGAATTAATTTTAGGACATACCCCCGAGATCCAATGAATTTAGTACCACATGTCACATAATCACATGTTTATTCTGAATATATTAATGATCACAGAAATAAAACAAAAGTTCTTTATGATAAAACTGCTAATGAATCTAAATTACGGAAACTTAAAATTCAGAAAACTTAGTTGTTGGTTCACAAGTCTATAAGAAAATAGATAGGGAAAATTAAAAAATAAATTAATAATCCTTATATTTTGACAAAAATTTGGGAAAATGGAAAAATTGAAATAGAAGATCCTAAAACAAAACGTAAAGAAATTATATATATTAATGAAACTAAAATTAGAAAAGAAACCTAATTAATTTGTAAAATTATTTATTTAGCACATGAAATACAAAACATAAAATAATTTAGATTCATACTGTATATATTAGTAATAAAATATTTTTTGAGTCATACTATATACAGGGTGGTCCGAACTGTATTCCGGAAACTTCGGCAACATGTTTTGCAGATAAAAATAAGTAAAAAAGTTCATATAAATGTATGTCCTAAAATGCTTAGTTTCGGAGATACAGGGTGTAGAAGTTTCATTTTTATTTCGATTTTTTCCAAATAATTTCTAAAGTAACGTCAATATTTGGATGAAAATTGGTGTCTGGGAGGTTTTTGACATGAGAAATTTGGATTTCGATGTCAATATGGCTCCTACTTGTAAAGGGCGCCACCTACGTATTTTTTAACTAGTTTGAAGAGTAATAATTTTTCGTCCGCACCTGTATAAAACTACGTTTACGACGTTTTTTACGTAAAAAAGGTCTCTTGGAAAAAATCGCTACGAGTAACGGGTCTCGAGATATTTGATATCGAAATTACCAATACCTGTCATCATTGACATAAATTAAACATGTTATCATAGTTATTAGAGTAATTAAGTATTTAAGTCATAAATTTGAAATGTTTTTGTGCCAAAAGTTCGACAGAAACTGGTTTATTATCATTTTTTCGAATAAAAATGTATGATTAGTTTAAAAAAATAAAAAGTTCCCAAATGCCTCATTTCAGTCAAATAACTATCTACTCAACATGTTTATTTCCATTGTAAATAGACAGTTAAAGCACGGCCAAAGTCGTAGACGTAAACGTATCGTTTGACATGTATGCTTGCGCAGTGAGAAATTCACTTGCGTTTACGGATATTCACCCGAATGATGCCGAACGTACAAATTCACAAACAACTCGTTTCCACAACTGGCTAGTAATTAAGTTATTTCATAAATTTTGCGGCCAATGTCACAGAACTGGGCCTATTTTATTACAATTAATTAGTATGAAAATATTAAGCATCATAATAAACTCATTTTGGAATCTATTTAATTAAATGCTAGTTCTTATAGCCAAAATCCATATGAGGATTCTAAAAGATGGAATCGAATAAATAATCATAAAGCTGTGTCTGTTTTCCAATATTTTTTTTATTACGAAGAGCATTTTAAGTTGTAAGGACTACTTTCTATAATAAAATAATTTCCATTTATAATTTTCTTCATTTTTCGATATTACTTTTATAAATTTAATGTGGAATCAATGGAATAATAGATATCCATTTTCAATTTTAAAATTAAATAAATTGTTTCACAAAATAATTTAGAATTACAAATGTACCATTTGCGTTACGCACGTCAAAATACTTGCTTTAACTCTTGTTTACACGACAACACAACGGCAGACGTAACGTAAGTTTCTGCGTTACGTGTCGAGAGATACGTATACGTATTGTGCCTTGCTTTAACTGTCTAATATCTTGAGAACGGTTGCTCGTAGCGGTTTTTACCAAGAGACATTTTTTACGTAGAAAATCACGTAAATGTATATTTTTTCACTGAGTAATTTTATACAGGTACGGACAAAAAGTAATTACTCTTCAAAACAGTTAAAACACATGTAGGTGGAGCCCCCTACAAATAGGAGTCATATTGACATCAAAATCAAATTTCTCATGTCAAAAAACTTCCAGACACCAATTTTCATCCAAATATTGAAATTACTTCAGAAATTATTTGGAAGAAATCAAAGTAAAAATGAAACTTCTACACCCTGTATCTCCGAAACTAAGCATTTTTGGACATACATTTATACGAGCTTTTTTAGTTATTTTTATCTGCAGAATATGCTGCTGAAGTCTCCGGAATACAGTTCGGACCACCCTGTATATATGAATTTAAATAAATGATTAACGATAATAAATAATTGGTACGATTAAGATTAAATAATAAAATAAATAATTTAATTAATAAAAATAAAAATATATTTAAAAATTTATTTTGAAAAAGAATTATTTTAGTTGGAATAAAATTGATATTAATATTATTTAATAGTTTAAAGATATTTATAAATGAAATAAAATATCGAATAGAATTAAATGTTCTTTATTGAACAAAATTTATTTTTAGAATGAAAAATCTGATAGTTAATTGATTTATTTATGAAAAATAATTATATAAGTTTATTAAAAATAATGATAATACTTACAATATTTTAAATTTAAATTGTTTAAAAATTAATTGATTTTACTTAAGAAATTGTTACAAATTAATAGCTCATATTTAATGAAATTATATTTGAATTTAATAATGATTTATTTATTTATTTTTGTAAAGGATATAACTAACTCTTGTCTAACTTTTATTTAATTATGTTAGATAATTGAAATTTAAATTAATATTATTTACGTAAACAGAACTAAAGTACCTATATGTTTCTGTCTAAGAGGGGAGAAGATATATTCTACGCATTAAGATAACATTGTTCTATTAATAATTTTATATTATTTTATAATAAATCGTTTACAACACTTTTTCTAAACATTCCTAAGAAGATTCTAGAACTTTTTCATTATGATTTAGATAAATACAAGAATTTCATCCGAAACTAGATTTTTTACATCATTTTATTAATTTCATATAAAAGGCGTTGTAACACATACAAATCAACTTTATGCTTTTAAAGCCTTTGTCAGTATTATTAAATTTTGTTGTTTGAAATAAAGTTATTTTCACTCAGAAACTTCTTAAATGTTTTAAAAACATTTTAAATTAACTTCAAAATTTAACTCATTTAATATGTTTCTTTTGAATACAGTCATTCCTTCAAACTGATTGAATACACTGGTTAAAAAAGTAACAAAATTAATTTTACTTCTTCATTATTAAGCAACAATTTAAATACAAAAACGCATCTCACCTAGTGTCGCTCACCACCGCCTATTCACTCGTCTAACAAAAAATCCTTGTAAGCTAGTTATCGTTCTACCCGGACAATCCAGGTGATAATCCCGAGACCCGGAGATTAAACCAGAAACCGTAGTGTCCAGAGAAAACCCTGAGGATTGGTAACTAACATTTTTCCCAAGTTCAAATGATATTTTTCTGTTCAGGCGAGCTCTTAGTAATATAGTTAGTATAATATAGGTAGTGTAACCTTAGTAATATAGGTAGTAGAACTTAGTCTCATACTAATTAGATTAACATATTTATAATAGACACTAAATTATTAAATGTATCTTTTAAAGTCTAAAAATAAAAAGTAGTTTCTTAAAAAAGTCACTATGAGATTCAATGTTAATTCACACAAAACTTCAATAAATTTTGACCATGATATCCTCTAATTTCTATTTTTTTGGGAAAAAACGCAAGATGAAGGGATCATATAACTACAGCACCAGCTTCTGCTCTAGTTTCAGATAAAGGTGGACAAACAGACCAACTATTATTATAAGGGTTGAAACATTCTACATCAGAAATTGTACACTGAGCTCTGTAAAATGGTGTAGCGTGAACCTTGGCACCACCTGAAGTAAAAATTATGTATTACTATAACATAATAAATTAAAAAGTACTTTTATATCTCATTACCTATAACATATAAATATCCATCTATTGCTGAGACTGCAGGACCACTTCTCTCTAGAGTCATAGATTGCACTATCTCCCACATGTTCTAAAATTAATTTTTATTTTAATAACTACCTAATTGAAGTAGAATTTATAATATCGTCGCCTTAATCGGCAAAATGCGTAACTCCACATTTTTCATAAAATGACATTTTTGTGCCATCTGGTAGGAAATATTACAACCCATGACTTGCAGAAATCCGTATATCCAAAATTAAATCGGTTTATTTGCCATTCCATAAGTAGAAAACCTCGTATCTCCTTTCCCGCCAATTTCAATCGGCAAAATCCGTAAATCCGTCGGTTTGTTATACATTTTCATGGTGAACACATGTATAACAATGTTATGTGGTTTATTGGCTTTGCTGCAGTGATACTAACATCTTATTTTGTATAATTAACTCTTATAAGGTAAGAGTAATTTCTATTTATTAGGTACAGTACATTTTTAGAGTCAAAATTAATAAACAGAGCGGTAAAGGCAAAATATTATTTTTAAGGGAGTTACGCAGTTTTCGTGTTTTATATTTTTAGTATAGTTACATTTACTCACATAGGACATAAGTACTTTTCTTCACGTTTGTTATAGATTTATGAACATATTTTAACCTGCTTTTCAATTACAGAAAATATTTTGTTTAATCAAGTATACGCTTCCGTTAAATGAACAGCTTATACCAAATATTAAATATATCTATCGGTTTTGTAAACAGGGTCAGTCTAAACCATCTGTTAATTTCGAATGATTTTATTGCAAAAGAACTAGAGTCTAAAACATGCTTAAATGGCTGATTCTACACTCTTAGAGCGATTTCTTCTACATTCGTGTAGAACATAGCTTATATACTCGCTTATATATCAATTTCAAACGTTTATAGACCATGTTCGGTTTATTTATTTTAGACCATGGCAAGGCGAATTGACAGGATCTTTAAAGCATTGGACGTTGTAAAAAGTAATACACAATGCAATGTTAACGAAGCGCCAGTTAAAAATAGCGTATATAAAAAACCATTTAGCGACAATCCGGATTTCAATGCAACCTTAAAAAATAATGATAGTTATAACTTAGATCTATCGAAAACCATTGAAGAAGCCGAAATTATATTTTTAAACAATGGTGGTAAGTAATCATTAAACCTCTATGTAGCTAAACAAACTTGGCATCTAATTGTAGATGTACCAATAAGCGAACTTATGGTTGCATCCAATAATGCTGAATGTATATTATCTGAGGAACAAGAAATTCAAATGCTGGTAAAGGACAGAAGGGGTAGGATTAATATGATTGAGAGTGTCATTTCACTATCTAAGTTTTATTTTTAGAAGAAACATTAGCTTCAGTGGACTTCAATATGGAAGTTGACCGGATATTTAATGAAATACCTTCCTGTTCAGCAGTACAACCTAGTAGATCTGAGGTAACTATCAATATTCACGAGACACTGATTAAGGAAAACATTTATGGAGAAACGGATAATAACGATCCCGATTTTAATCCAGCCTTAAAAAATTAGGATACCTCTGACTCAGAAGATGACCCTATTGCCGTGCCAAGTAATTTACCGGACGACAACATATTGGAAGATGAAAACCCAAGACGAAAACGATCAACAAAATACGAAGTAAACAGAAACGAATGGTATGAAAATAGAAACCGAATAAATAGAGAAAAAGGAAAATCCTATTTAGGGAAAAAAAAGGAAGTGGAGGTATGATACTGTACAGGAACCAAGATTACTAAAAGAGGCCTGTAACTGTAAACTAAGTGCAAATCCAAAATGTATTTTGAAATGTAGACAGATAGCGGAAAATGAGAGAGAAATTATTTTTACGCAGTTCTGGAAATATACTTGGGCAGAAAAGAAGATGTTCGTAAAAAACCATGTGTCCGTAGAAACCACTAGTAGAAAGAGAGGATATAGAGAAGTTTCTAGAAGATCATATTCGCATAATTTTTTTTTGGGCAAGGCCAGACTAAGGATGTGTAAAGTAATGTTTCTTAACACATTAGGGGTGAACGAGTGGGTTATAAAAAAGTGGACAAAAAATAGCGACCAAGTCCATTTTAACCAGACTGAAATACCTGATAAAATTAATATTTCTGTTCGTTTGCTGCATGAGTTTTTTGAAACTCTACCAAAGTTAGAGTCGCATTACTGTAGGGCTTCTACCGCTAAGCTCTATTTAGAACCTATTTGGAATTCTAAAGCCCATTTATATAAGGTTTATAAAAACGACTACTGCAAAACACGTAATGAAAAATCTGTATCAATTGCCACTTTCATAAGGAATTTGACAAAAAAAGGTTGTCGCTTTATAAACCAAAAAGATCTATGCGACTGTTGTGTCGCTTATCAAACAGGCAATTTAACAGAAGAAAAGTACAATGAACACATAACATTGAAAAATGAAGCAAGAAACGAAAAGAGTGCAGATAAAGAGTCTCAAGATGAAGTCTTAGCAATGGATCTCCAATCGGTTTTGCTCTCTCCAAAATCTAATGTTTCTTCGCTTTATTACAAGACCAAATTAATCGTTCATAATTTCACAATATTTGACGTCAAGCGCAAACAAGGTTATTGCTACCTGTGGAATGAGTCTGAAGGCGGATTAACAAGTAACGAATTTTCAAGCATCATAATTCATTTTCTGAAGGGACATCTAGAACAATATCAATTAGAAAATCAAAATGAAATTAAAATTATATTATGGAGTGACGGGTGTGGATACCAGAACAGAAACACAACTTTATCAAATGGTCTGTTTAATTTTGCACTGGAAAAGAATGTAACTGTGGTACAAAAATATTTACATAAGGGCCATACACAAATGGAAGTGGACAGCGTTCACTCTGTTATCGAAAGAAAGATCCGAAACAAGAAAATCAATATTCCCGCAGATTACGTATTTATTTGCAAAACAGCATGTCAAAAAACTCCTTACAAAGTTGAGTACCTTATGCACGACTTCTTTAAAAAATATGATGAACTAAAATATTTCAAATCTATTCGACCAGGAAAAATCGCTGGAACACCATTAGTAAACGATATAAAAGCCTTGAAGTACTCAAATGATGGAGTTTTGTTTAAACTTCGTCATTCAGAAAAAGATTGGCAAGCTCTTCCAACAAGGTTGAACATAAAATCTATTAAGGCAACTAATATAGATAACTTACCGATACTACACAAAAATAGGCTAAAAATTAAAGCAGAAAAATATGGACACCTCCAACAGCTTAAGTTAAGCATGGAAAGCGATTATCACGATTTCTATAATAATCTACCTCATGATTAATCTTTTTTAAATTAAGTTCTTAAATGTTCTACTTTTATAAATAAAATTATTTTCATATTCATTTTCTTATTATTTTATTGCTATAGATTTATTGGTAAGAAAAATGCCTATCTCCAATTTTTAAATTAAAATATAAAAAAGAAAATTACCTATCTCCATTTTTTATAAAAATTAATAATTAATGTTACAATACTAATTATGCCCCTCGTTTTTGTCACTTTTATGATATTTTTTAATCATTAAAAGCAATAATTGTGATAAAATTAAATAAAGTTAGAGGTAAAATCGTTTTTTGTGTCTCCTGAAAAATTTGTAGGAATGGAGTTACGCACTAAGCCGATTAAGCCGACGATATGTAGTTTAAACATACAAGGTGATTCACCGCGCCGCGCCGGTAGGTTAGACGTTTACGCAGATCCGATGATTTTTTTGGAATATACAGGGCGAGTCTTAAATAAGTGCAAATATTTTCAGGGCTGGTAGATCTCGATAAAAGAAACATCTTTTCTCTTTATCGTTTTTCAAATCAATCTAAAATAACCGAGATATTTTACTTTGAGAATTTCCAAAAAAATATCTTTTGCTAAAATTTTGAGAGCCACTGGAACTTTTCTGGATTTTCTTTTTTCTAAATTTAATCTACTACCTATGTTGCCATATTATCAACAAATTATATTTTTTAACTAAAAACTAAAAAAAATTCCAATAAATAAGTCGAAATATACTACACCTAAAAATATTTGCACTTATTTAAGACTCACCCTGTATATGGAATCCAGAAGATTTTTACATAAAGGCACACGGTGTTGCCGTTTCATATTAAAACTAGTAGCATCTTTGTTATTTTAAATAAAAGATGTTTAGAATGTCTTTAGAATGTTTAGGAGGGGGGTTAATCACTAGCGATGGGAACTATCGAATGAATTAGACTATCGAATGGTTACTGAATGAATGATTTCAACTATCGAATGGTTTTATTCGAATAAAATCATCCATTCATTTATATACTAAAGCATATGTGACAACCTCGCCGTGCGATTAAATGGTTATCGTTGAGCCACGACTATCGAATGCTTTTGATAAATGAAATTTAGTATTCGTTTGATTTTCGTGTGCGTCAGTGCATTATTAGTTCTTCCAAATTTTTATAACTTCGCCTTCTAAATACTGTGCTATTTTTGCGTTTATTAAAATATGAACAAGAACAGATCTTTTTTATTAAAATATTTAAAATACTAAAATAGTAGTGTTTTTTTTTTAAATTGACGATTGTCTGCGTCAAAAATTTGTGTGATTTTCCGTAGCCTGATCTTTCAATTATTAAATTTATATGGTATATGGTCTATTTTTTTAATGGGAAATTTTGAGAAGTAGCAATTTTTAAGAGATGAAGTGAACTTACAACTAATTTTAAAAATACATAGGTACATATATATGTATTTGTATTTTAGATGTTTTAATAATATAAATTAGTTGAATAACTTAATAATCATATTTAAGGGGAAGATGGTGAAACACCAGTACACCTCATCACTGAGTGCGCCGAGACGACAACCATTCGTGCCATGAACTTTGGTACGACTGATATTGGAGATGGAGAACTACCCTCTATAAAACCGTCCCAGATACTGGCTTTTGTCAAAGGCCTGGGACTGTATGATGAGTTATGATTCAAGAAAGGGGGACACAATGGATCTGTAAGGTCGAAGTGATTAACCCTCCTCCCACTCATTCTAAATTCTAAATTCTAAACTTACAACTAATTTTAAAAATACATAGGTACATATATATGTATTTGTATTTTAGATGTTTTAATAATATAAATTAGTTGAATAACTTAATAATCATATTTAAGTAATGTGGTTAAGTAAATGGGGGGGGGGGGATCGAACTCAAAGAAATATTTCGTTTATTTTTTAAAGTAAATGCCAGTAAAAGCAAATATTATTTTTAAATAGTAATATAAATAATTTTGATTTCTAATTTTTTATTTATATTTTCCTTCCATTACACTGCACGCTGAGAAAATTAATAAATGTTTATATTTCATGATTTTAAAATTTGTTGTTAATTTAACAAATTAGTTCTGTAATTAATATTATTTAATAAACCAACGTTGCCAAAAAATTTAGAGACTATATTATTTTTAAATAGGATCTAATATAAATAATTTTGACTTCTAATTTGTTGTTTATATTTTGCTACTACTTAAAAAAATGATCATATTAAATGATTTTAAAGTTTGGTGTTAATAGGTATAACAAATTATTACTGTTATTATTATTTATTAAACCAGTTTTGCATAAAAACATTAAAAATCATTTTCCTACATCCAAAATAAAAAAGTATTATTGAAGTGTAACAACAGAATATTAATAAAAAAAAAATGCAAAATATATAGTCATACTATCTATCTATCCCTAACTAACTATAATATCAAAGAATAATATTCTTTGCTAATACCCTTGATTATAGATGATATAGATATACAATGATCGGATGCTTTGGGGCTCTGTTCACCAGGTGGCGAGGGCTCCTCAGAAGTTTTCGTATTCCCCTACGCTACGATTTCGAATTTTTAGGAAAAGTGGGATTTCTCACTCTCTAATTGGTCGATTACTAGAGTTTCCTTATTAGGAATGATTTTACTTTCCGTTAGTTGGGGTCATGTTAGAGTCTTTCTTAAAAACAATGAGTATCTAAAAAAAATTCTGGGCTGAATATTTAAATCAGAGTAATAACAAAATTCCCAACATTCCATTTATTACCAAAAAGAATAATTCGACTGCATAATTAAGAAAATAGAGACGATAAACAATCGAACAAATTTTGAACGAAAAAGGAGCGCGCGCAAACTGTTGTTGATGAAAGATGAAACCTAACCTCACGCGATACTTCAAAACAAACAATCAAAATCTGAAAATAAAAGGGAAATTCAGAAATTCCTAGGCCAATATTGATTTTCCAGGCATATATTGCGTTCAGAACTATTGTGGAACTACCGAAAATAATAGGACTGGTAAGTACTGTAATCTACTGTAGCAAAAATTATAACATTTCTTCGATATAAATCTATGTATGTTTTTGATCGTATTTATCGTTTTTTAATATCAATTATGTTCTGTTTTAAGGTTAACACGATTGCCATTGTCATAGAATTAGTGACCTAACAGTTAAATTAGTGCATACAATATCAAAATATATTGCTAGAAGCAGCAAGCTAGAAAATATACCAACCAGTCAACTATGAATGATTTCAAGCTGGACATGCTGATTGAATCCACTAGATGCCCCAAAAATTAGGACTACAAACCCGGATGTTCCTAAAAAGTTGCCGGTATTATGCATACAAGTGTATTAACAGAGGATGGGGTTACGTGATACGTAACAATAGATACCAATTCCTTCAGTTGATCATCGAAGGAAAGATTAAGGGAAAGAGAGGATGTCATGGCTTCGTAACATCAGACAGTGGATGGGGCTTAAGACAATGGAAGATCTACTTTATGCAATATTAAATAAAAAAGTGGACTAATGTGCTCATGCACATCCATTAGTGCATTTGCAGCCGAAGTCTTAAGAGACTGACAGCTAACATTAAATAGTGATTTGACAGTGGTTATCAGTGCAAAAAATGTGATATGTAATTGTTTTCTAGTGATAAATTAATGATTAACTAGAAACTTGGTTTGTGTGTGTTAGAACGAAGGAAGCCTTATTTTTTATGATGATAAGTTAAAGAAGCGGGTTTTTGTTCTACAAAGATACCGTATGATCGAATAAAAACGGCGTCAGCGATGGCTATGAAATGAAGATCGCTGTCATATTATATGTAAAATTATATGGGAAAAGTCATCGATCGTCATTTCAAAGCCAACTGGACGCCGTTTTTTTTTCGATCATACGGTATAAGGTATGCTTGATATACACAATTGGTTAGGAAAAAAATAAAATTAAATAATAAAACTACATAGTCTTATTGAAAATGTTTTCTTTGCAAGTTTAAACTCATTCTAAATCCAAGAGAAGATACCGATATATAAATTCAACTAAATTTTACTTGATTTAAACACATAAATATAATACCTACGTACCTACTAATACTTACTACAACAAGTTTATGAACCAAATTGATGGAGTAATAGATTCTAGTATTTCAATTTGTTCAATTTTTTCTGTTTGTCTTAGTCTCTTGAAAAAATATTTTTAATGAAAAATAATTTCACAATGAACATCACAAAGAAAAAATATACATACATACATATATCGCAACCCTAGTGAATAAATAGAATTTTAAACCTCCTAAAGTTTTATAAAAAAAAAATACAGTGTATCTACACAAGAAATTACCATTTTTTATAAGAGTATTAAGAACAGAAGATAAATATTAGCAATTTTGGCGACTTATTCTTAATTGTAAACTTCAGAATAGATCTTTATTAATTAATAATTGAGTTTAAAACATATTATAAATTCTTACAACAAAAAAACAACTTACGAGTTCATACACTAACTATCATTATGATCTTTAGTTCATACAAAAATCCCATAGAAAAAAGTACTTGCAGTTTATCCCCAATTTTCCAGTCATTCTTCCTTTCCCTATAAACCTTATTGAACCATTATCGAAGTATCTAATACACAGTATATCCCTGGATTGTCTTTACAGAAGCACTTTTTTATTAACATTTAAAAAAAATGCATTTTTCAGAAAAAGATTTTGCTTTTCTAAATGGTTAATCCCGTTTATTCTTTGTCAAATTTCCACACTGTTTTAGAGAAAACTTGGGGGACATACTGTAGGCAAATTTTCCAAATTGTTTTCTTTTGTTTATATAGATAAATATGGTATGTTGTTCATATTTACAATAAAAATACCATTCAAAATTAAGAAAAAATATTTTTTTCCATTGATTACACCTATTAAAATATGTAGAAAAAATCTTCAGGAAAACTAAAACTATTTTCAATGCGTATAATCAGAGGTATAATTAAATAATTCTTATTTTTTATGTTTCTA